GTGTCTACAAATTGCAAAATTTAGTGAAAGTTTTATATTTTACCTGCTGACCAGTCCCCAGGCATCGACATGGTACAGCCAGCTGTGCATTCAGTCTGTCCGTAACCTTCATAAAACTGTGGAAAACGTTTACGTTATAAATGATATTTATAAACAAAGTATTAAAAAAAATTACAGATGAGATGACTGTGAATGTGGCTCACCTGACAGCCGAGAGCAGCTCTCAGGAAAGTCAGGATGGTCGGGGATACCGGGGCTGCTCCTGTAATCATGAGTCTCACGCGGCCGCCGAGGCTCGCCTACAGTGCAAAACAAACATGAAAGCTTCAAAATGTCAACTCAAAACTAATTTATTATGCATCACAAAAACCGCTGCAGATTCATTTAACAAAATAATTGTGACAAATAGGTCAAATGTGTGGACGTGTTTATCCATTTTGTGTCTTTGTTCCTCTTTAGTGTACGTGCGCTTTGAAAGATTGTTAGGCGGCATGTAACGTCCCCAAGTGCTTTTAAGTGTTTCGTGTTTACCTGCACTTTCTTGAAGATGAGTTTGTCCCACATGCTGTCTTTCCGGACCACTCCATTTTTAAGCTCCGCCTCTTTCCTTCTGAAGGCAAAATCAAGCAGCCATCTTTTCAGTGGCGTGTTGGCTTGACCAAAAACCTGCAGAGCAATGAGAAATATCCAAATCGTGTTTCATGCAAAGCAGCAGACCAGAGAAACGGCACTTCTGACCACAAAAGCACATAAACAGCATAAACTGACCTTGTCAAACATGCGGTTGAGGAGGCGGGGGACAACCGGGAAAACTGTTGGCTGGAGTGTTTTCAGATCATCCATCAAGAGTCGAATGTCCCCTTGGAAGTAGCCGATTCGAGCCCCGTGGACGAGTACGACACACTGGTGGAGGGGAAAAGATGCTGCTCATTCCAACTTTGACAAATTAAAAATGATATTTTGACCACACGAGGGCACTAATGCTGCATTTAAACACACTAAGACAGGGGTGTCACATGTAAGGCACAAGGACCAGAATCGGTCTGCCAAAGACTCTAATCTGACCTACTGGACAACTGTGGAAAACATGAAGGAGTGCATAAATTTTAAACCTTTAACTATATAAATCACACTGCTGATGAAACTCACAAAAACACATGTATCAAATACGATACACTACGCATCTCATGTCTCACAAACATTATACTAGCAGTCCTTCTCTGCTGACTCCTAAATATTACCTCCACTAATAAATTCATTGTGCATCTTAAGGTAAGCAACATACCTCCACAACCCTCTCAAACATGTGAGCTAGAGGGAGATAGGATACGTGAATGTCATTGGCGTTCAGCATGCAGTTTACCTGCAGAGGGACACACAAAACACATGCAGGTGAAGCACTCTGTACTTTACCTCCACTACACGCTCAAACATATGGGCCAAAGGCAGGAAGGAGATGAGCACATCTTTACTTGTGGGCTTCAATATTTCCTAGACGACGGACGACACCACACAGGACGGGACAGATGAGGGAGCAAGACAGACGGACAGAGGAAAATACAAAGAGGAATCAAGGAGAGGCAACAGGGGCCAGACAGGGATATTAGAGCCATGAGTCAGCTTCATGTTTTTTTCCATCTGACGTAGATCTTATGAGAACAAAAGAAAATGTTTGATTGAACTGTGCCGAATCAGCTTCTACAAAGATGGATGAAGATTTGGGCTTTTTTATTACATTTAGCAAATAAATTCAATGACATGGTTTGTTTTTCTATAGTCTACCTTCACATTTGTTATAGAACAGCTTGTGTACTTCAAAACGCCATTTAGCTTAATTAAGAACTGAGACTTTATGCTTCTTTTCTTTATCAGGTGTTGCCTTTCTGCCTCATCCTTGACGTTCATTTATCGCATCTTTAAAGGAGTACATGAAAAAAGACGATACATGATTTCTTACAGTCTGATGACAACCTGAAGGCGACCCAGAGCCTCTGTGTTATTATTGTTTGGAAAGGTTTCAGTGAGATCAACCAATTGAAAATATTAGAGTGCCGGTGGGTGGGTTTGCTTACCTTGGTCAATTTAATGAAAGCGCCAGTGTTGCAGATTACGTTTTCATGAGAAATCATTGCACCTTTTGGGTATCCTGAAAGTAAAGTTTAAGCAAAACAAACACAATAAAAAACAATTATGATGATATATAACATAAAACCATAACATTTCTGAAATCTTAACGCAATAACAACCCCGTACTCACCTGTTGTTCCAGAGGTAAAGCAGATAAGAGCCTGGTCCTTTGGTTTGGGAGGCTGTAATCACAGAGCAACACTGATACACGAACGTCTATTACATTTCAAATACTTTTTTTTTTAAAGATGGAGACCAGTTGATCAAGCAAATTCATTGAAGTTTCACCAATGACTCTCACTGGAGTAATTTAGTCAAAAAGAAGACCCTTAAAAAAAAAAAAAAAACTCATGTCGTCAGTAGATCAGATAAAGATGGCGTGCTGTTCCTACTCACCACTGGTTGCTTGAGGTTAGCTTTACCCAAGGCCTGGAAACAAAAATGTACAAAAATTAGTGCATCTGCAGGAAGTCCTGATAAGGGTCTGATTTCTACTTAGCTCGAACACAGCTGGATGGTTTCAAAAACACAAACCCAAACAGGCTGAAATATTCGAACCAGAGTCGCCTTCACAGTCATTTTTACATGCATGCAACAAAATTACAATTCGATTCAACAGTGTCTTGATGCATGCTTAATCATCCGGGTAAGGCATTACTCAGTCTCAGCTGACTGCAGGTTTCTTCAACCTTATAAACAGTACATTTGCATAATGACTGAAAATAGCACCACTGGTAAACAATCGGCTGTGAGGTCAGTTTCTTGATCAATAATATGAAAATGGTCATAAGAATTAATCAAAGAGCATCATGCCATTATACCAATGTACTGTTTATAAGGTTGAAGAAACCTGCAGTCAGCTGGGACTGAAGAAGTCCCTTGGATGAGTAACGAAACGTTTCTCCCAGTGACAATCTACCTCAAGATGAAAAGAATCAACTTTTCTATTGTGCAGACATAACACAGAAGATGACACAATTTGCTCTGCACATCAAGAATGAACATTTGTGAAACTCAAAAATGACAAATCCGATTCTTATTCTCACCTCTAGCTCCTTTAAACTCAGGATCTCGATGCCGTTCTCCTTTGCGCGGGTCACCAGGTCGCTGTCAAACGCCTCGATGAGAATAATCATCTTCACCGCTCGTGCTTTTCCGCTGATACAATCCAGAATCATCCGGGCCTTTTCAGGGACATCACAGATCACCGTTGAGATGTCGGCTGTGAAACAGACGGCGCCAAGCGAACCATTAATTTAATCTTCCATCGTCACGGCCCTTGATTTATAAAGCACTCTGACAGTGCTGCAGGCGATATGTGGTTAGTGTGAGATGGCGCCCTTTTTTATACCTCTATCAATAATGTAGTCAATGGCTTCAGAGCCGAGTGTGTCATACAGCGGGACAGCCACCAAGGAGTACGTGTAACAGGCGAGCTCTGTAATGGTCCACTGCACAAAAACAGTATCATTAATTTGAGTTCAGCCATGGAAAAAAAGGAAAAAGAACAATAAACAACTTGGTAATGCTACAAGAATCATTTATGTCACAGAGATCTTAATGGAAAAAGTGTAAAAAGTTCAATATCTGATACACCTTTTAACTAACAATATAACAGCTTCAAACAGTATTTATGTCAGATGGATGAATTAGTCATTACCTAACTCTTTCTACCAGGTCTCCCATCAGAAGTGTGCAGTGTGTCTACACTAAACCAGACACTTTGCTAGGATCACCTGTTCAGCTGCTCATTAATGTAAATCAGCAAATTACAGGGTAGCAACCTGCTTTTATGCCTACAGACATGGTCAAGATGGCCTACTCAAGTTCAACATGAGCATCATGACTCTGAGCTTGAAATGGTTGTTAGTACCAGACGGGCTGATCTCAGTATTTCAGAAACTGCTGATCTACTATGAAATTACCAAACAAATATCTCCTTAGTTAAAGAGGAGTGTCCGCTGAGTATATATTTACCCTTTTAATCTGCCCTTGTAACGCAGGAATGCAGTTAGCTTGTGGTTAGTGATCACAGAAACACCGTAGAATAACATGAGAAGATGACGTAAGTTTTACCTCTGGTCTGTTCTGAGCGAAGATGCCGATGAATTTGTCTCCTGTGTGAGAGTGTCCTCTGTGAAGGAGGGCGGAGCCGATGCATTCTCCTCTATCTATTACCTGTGCAAAAAATAAAATAAAATCCAGTTTATAAAATAAATTCCCACTTTGACAGTTGTAAAATTCCACACTGGCATGTCCGTGGTGCCCATCTAACCTCTTTATAAGTCTGCCATTCATATGGCTGGTTTGGTTTCCTCGATCCTAGACAAGGTCCATTATCTGCAAAAGAAAGAAACCTTTATCCAACATCAGCGTCTTTGGGGATTTCTCACATTTAGCAAGTACAAGAGAGACACTGACTTGATACTCTGAGCCCTCGTAGGAACACCTCGTATAACGTGCGTGCATCATCGTAGTAGTGTGTCAGGTAAGAGCCGTCTTCGCAAAACACCGATCTTCTCGCACGCTCACCACCCTGCAAGGAAACAGAGTTCATTAACTAATAATTAGCAAACTCGCCATGATCCCTTAACACTTTTATCTACTCATGAGCTCCAATGCAAAGACTGGGCTACAAGTGACAACACTGTGCACCCTGAAATAATAAAACAACATTCAATAAGGCCCCCTTCATCAGCAGCGCCAACAGTGACTGTGTGAAAAACATTTTAGTACTTTTAATGTAACAGGAAGTGATGAAGTCATGGCTTGTAACTCCTAAAACTGACACTAACGCCAGCTGTGATTGAGTTTGTGGAGAAAATCCATTAACATTTCCAGTGAATGAAGTCAACTGTTCAGTGCTTTTTCCCCAGCGTCACTGTATAAGGGATTAAACCTCGGAAATTCCACTAACAAATATGACCGTAAAACCGAAACCTAAATTCAGAGAGTTTAACTGGAGGAAAAAAAGAGATCACTCACTGGTAACTCCACTGACTGCAGTCCAAGATCACAGGGTGGTTTGAGGGCTTTTGGCCGGGTGGCAAACCAGTAGGTGGTGATGGCCGCGAAGGCACCCATACCCATGAGGGCGTTGGTGGGAAAGCCTCGGACGTACTGCCGAAAGTCATCCAGCTCGGGAATCCGCAGCTGTCTCAGGACCTCCTGAGCCTGCATGGTCATTTTGCAGTGAACCTGCAGAAAAACAGAAAACAAACAAGTTCATTGGTCTCAAGTTTTAGTTTTAATTTAGCTCAGAGACTTGTGTGGAGAAGTGAAATATTTAGCACATAATATGACTGTAATAGGAACTTTTTCCATTTAGTGAAATTCTGTAAAGAGCCTGAAGCTACTTGATGCTGGCAACTCAAACTGAACAGTTTCATGGCCTCACTTTTCTCACATCACGTTCGAAACACAGCCCCTGGTTTTTGTGGTTTGTTTTAGCAGTAAAGAAATCTGCCATCTGTCCCTCAGACACATTAGTGCTGCTGCTGCTTTTCCAACCTACACCACCCTGCCATCCACCTGTAGGCTCCAGGGTAATATTTATCATCCCTCATCATGCAACATGTTTAAAGGGCCAGACTCCAACTATTTTTTGAGGCTATAAGGCAGGGGTGGGCAATTCCAGGCCCCGAGGGCCGGTGTCCTGCAGGTTTTAGATCTCACCTTGGGTCAACACACCTGAATCACATGATTAGTTCGTTACCAGGCCTCTGGAGAACTTCAAGACATGTTGAGGAGCTAATTTAGCCATTTAAATCAGCTGTGTTGGTTCAAGGACACATCTAAAGCCTGCAGGGACACCGGCCCTCGGGGCCTGGAATTGCCCACCCCTGCTATAAGGAATCAAACAAACCAGGCTAAACCGTTGTTTTAAAAATACATTCTGACCTTCACATTACAACAGGAACACATACAGAACTGCACTCTATAAAACTAAAGCATCAGCTTAAAAAACAGGCATGATTTACCCTATAAACCTTCTGTTAGCTACATATGACCTACACATGAATCCCGACCCAGCCTAGTGATCTCAGGTTTGACATTAATATTTGCTGTAAAACTGCTGTAACATGATCCCAAAAGCCAAATGTTTTTAAAAGGACTATATCACATCTACAGCTTTCACTTTTCTCTGACACAAACACCTATTTCTGGCAAACTGACGCGATAACACAAAAACGTACTGCGCAAAATAAAAGCTTCAAGGATAAACTAAGAGTGAATCATCTGAGGCTCACCGCAGAGATGGAGCAGCAGCACAGCTCAGTGATTCAGTAATGAACCAACTCTTCACTGCAACTGTGTTTTTTCTTCTTCTGTGGTTTAAAAATCTGAGTACCAGACTTACAATGAGTCAAACATTGGATGTAAATGTGAATATTTCTTTCAGTGAATGTGAATACTGAAGACTGGAAAATGAAAATAATTAAGTTTGTGTTTAAAACATCAAGATTTATATATTAAAAAAAAAAAAATCATAAAAAAAAAATCAAAAATCATAATCATGTTTGTTGAAATGCCGCAAATATCAGCTCCTGGGAATTATGGTTGATAAGCGCTTGAAAAAGCATACTGGCTGGGTTAGCAGAAAAATCAACAAATCCACTGATACAATGAGGAGGGTTAGCTATCTTGCACTTAAAACCAGTTTCCTTAATGATTAATCGTTTCATTTATCCCTATCTTTCCTTTTGTAATGTAGGTTGAGCGAGTACGTTTCCTGCTGCTCTCTGCAGAACTCTTACAGAAGTGTTTTGTTAGGACTGCATCGTGCTCAGAGTCATATATTGCATCTGTTCCTTTATTTGGAAGCTTAAGATTTCTGCTATTTATGACGTCAATATCCATCTAGTATGTGCCTTTATTTATAAGTTATATTCTAGCAAAGGAAATCTCCCTAAGCAGACTCACTTTAATGTCACCTCACAGGTACATGATTACTCAGCTTTATTTCCTAACTTCCTCACTTGCAGAGGTAATTTTCTACGGTTCTTCTTCTTCATTTAAAAACATTTCAGTAATCTGACATTCATTTTATGTAGTCAGATCATTGTGTGCAAATGCTGTGTTTTTCCATAACAATGATATTTTTTCATATATTAAATAGATGGCAGCTTCAAGGTCAACTTTATCCCCTGCTGCACTGTGTTATTTGTTATCTTTGTCTTTTAAATTGTGCAGGTGAATAAAATAAAATTGAAGACTTTTTTCTTTTAATTAACAACTGAGCTTTTTTAAATCCATTCAAATCGCTAAAGAATGAATGAAACATACTTGCACATTTGCCTGTTTTTTTTTTTTTTTTTAACTGATGTTGTTAATAGAAGAAAAAGAAGAGGATGTGCTATCCCATTCAACAGCTGTGCACTTGACAACAAGGACATAGGAAATAAAAATGACGACACATTTTCTGATCACAAACCTCAGTGGAAATATAATAAGATGGGCGACCGCAGATGCTGAACAAAAGGAAGAGAAGCTTTCTGCTTTGGATGGTTTAGAAATGAGCTCACTGGGCTGGGCTCGCTCTTCACTCTCATGGACATATGGCTCTATTCTAATAAAATATTCATACAACAATAAAAGTGAGTCACAAGTAGGCTGAATGCCTGATTTTTAATGACATGTTAAATGAAATATGAGAAGCCCGAAGAAGGAAAAAACTATTTAAATTCCCTAAAATAGTCAATTAGAATTTTTTTAATTATTACGAGTTAATATGGAAGCAGCACATTAAATAATCATTTAGACCTACAACTTTTCACGCTGCCTTCTGTGCAGCTCACATTTTTTAATCAGCCTAGGCGGCTGGAAGCACATGAACTGTGTTTAACTCTTTTGACCTCTGTGAGGTAAAGAGGCGAGCAGCAACAACAACTGACTTTTCACCTACTTCTATTATTATCAACAAACCTGTGACAAATGGAACCACTGCCAACTGGCACAAAGTTCTGCAGTGACGCTGTCTTATAATTGTGGATTCAATTCAATTTATATATACATGTTAAATGACAAATAACTACTGTAAACTGAGCTGAGAATTTTTATATTGAAGAACAAACCACAAAGTAAAGGCTACATTCATCACAAGTGTTTGGATCTGTTTATCCTCTCGGAAGGAAAGAAAAAGGTTCTAAAATCATAAACTTTAGATTAAACTGTATTTTTAAACACTATAAAAGAGAAGCAGCAATAACATCTCTTTCAAATCACCTCAAGGACAACCTTAAGTGCAGCTAAGTACAGTTTCACAAATCTAAGCGCTGATTATTGACATGCAGAAATAAAAATCAATCTCTTTACTCACTGCTCACAGCGTGTGTCTGAAGAAAGGTCGAGACCGTGGCCACAGTGGATATTTGAAAGGCCCTGTGCTGCTGCAGTTGCTATTAGAAGGACTCAGACTGACCTCTAATAGACCTCTGAAGTTCTCACAACTATGAATAGCAGAAACACGCCCCTTTCGAACAGAAACACACACACACACACACGACACACCACACAAGTCACTCACTGAGGTACTGTTTAGCTAACTCAAACTCATTGCCGATTTCTTTACTGATGTGAGCTTTTTGTTTGTGAACACAGGTGTGCATTTGTCTGTTTGTAAAAGTAGCTTAAAAGTAATCTTAGAAAAAGCTCAGAACAAACTGAAAGCTGATCTGAGTGATTCGAGCATTTTTACTTATGTTTATTCAAGAGTGAATCACCAGTATCTTATCACACATTGTCTTTATCTACACAAACGGAGTGTTATGTTCTTCTGTTGCTGAGCAGCCAATCTAATGAAGCTGTGGAACAAAGAGGTACATACTGATTATATGTCATGCTGTGTATTCTGTGTGATAGATATGTTTACAGGCCTGATATAGCAGAGATGTCGACGCCAACATACACTCGTCTCAGAATGTACAAAGTCACCAAATAATGTGTGCAAACCATATGTGCAGAGTCCTTCATGTCTAAGATGAATAAAATAACATTTCCAAATAATGATGGCTAACTAAGACAAGTTCATTTGTGAGTCTGGACATTTAGTGTATTACACAGTTTCTACATGGATTTAAAGTCTTCCGGCTCTAGCAAATCAATAAGTGGACTGAGTCGAATAAGTGTGATAATTTGTGGCTATAGTGAACAAAGTGAATGCAGATTTTTGTGAAAAGTAAAGGAAGCACGCAGGCTAAAATGTAGACATGCATGGAGTCAAGAAAACTCAGTGTGGATGTGAATAATTTTAAGAGTTCAACCCATTTTTAATTTTTAAGAATGATACTGAATACAGAATATCACATTTAAATCACCGATATTTGGTGATTTAAATGTGATATTCTGATATATCGGCTGATATTTTTCTTTCTTTGGGACACACGGAACGTAAATAGATTTTGTTTACGTTTCTTACATTTTTTGTTATTTTTTTAACTCTAGTGATCCAAAGAAACAGGAAATTTCAGTGCGCCCTCTGAAAAATAACATGGTTGAAGGGTGTTTCTTCCATATTTTTATTTATATCATGTTTCAAAACATTCACAGGACACTGTTTTTACAGCTGTTTTTCTGGACCTGTCACAAGTAAAGTATACATTTAAAAATAGGATCTCATTAGCATAAGTTGGGTTCACACTGATAAACAACTAGTTCAAAATCTCTGAACTCCTTAATGAGCAACAGAGGAAAAAAGTCCCAAAAAATGACTAAATGTAACTCATGCACATGTCTTGCTTACTACTAACCCCCTTATTAAATTACAGTGTTTATGCCACGCTGATCTTCATCAGGTACAAAGGCAATGTCATTGTATCCACTCCTTTATTTACAGATCACACTGATGCAAAAATCCTACACTAGCCTACCATACAAGAATGCCTGCAGGGATCCAAATGACCTAATAAATTAAGAATGCGTTTATAAAATCATTTAACATTTTAAAATAGAAATTTGGAGATTTGATTGTGTTTTGTGTTGTGTTAATATTGTAAAAATATTGTTTTGTAAGCGGAAACAAACCTTATTTTGTTTTAATTGGTTTTATATAGAAATAACTTAACAATCTTGGTTCAATAATTTATTATTTGCATTAGTAAACCACACGCTGCACAGACCGAGTGACATCTTCACACATCTTATTTTGCGAGTGTTCATTACAGACCTACTCTGAGAGTACATGTGTCTGTTTGATGGCCAGCAGTGGCACATGACACTGGTGTCATGCTTTGCTAAGAGTTGTCAGAGGCAAAAGGTACCACTACACCCACCACCACCACCACCCCCACTAACCATACTTGGCCTGGGAGGATGAGGAGCCAATGGCAGAGCCAGCTCGACAGTCACCCCACAAACATAAGGCACTGGGGAAAAAAAAAAAAAAAAAAAGAGGTGGAGGGGCAGTGGGTTCATTTGACACATAACAGAACATGAAGATAAGTTGGCAACAGCCTCAAGCTTGCAGGCAGGTTACAGCTGTTTGGTATAAGAGACACTCTTACCACAGTCAGGAAGCTACAAAAAAAAAGCACATAGCTGGTCAGTCATACTTGAATTCTTCTGAAATGCTTTGGTTCCTCTTAGAGGAATGATGCAAGACATCTGAAACCTTAAAGCAGTGTGATACTGAGCTGCTTAGTCAGTTGTTGAGCATCAGATAAACCTGTTTAATCTCATTATTACTACCTTAATAGGGGTTAAACATTAAGCTTTTAAACACATAAAACATAATCCCATTTTAACAAGTCAGCTGCTTTCTCTCAGCTTTACATGAACTGGGTAGTATACAGTATAACTAAAACAGTAAGTGTCTTTTTTAAGTAAATTAAATAATGTGTGTTGTGTTATGGCTGTACTAAAATAAATGTTTAAATTTCTTTTGTTGAAACCAAACTTCACAGGTGAGCGGTGGAACTAACTGAGAAACCAAGGACGCTGCACGCTCATATGGCAGTGACTTGTTAATCCCAAAGTCGCCACTCCCTAAAGCATACCGCTTATTGTCTATTTTACTCAAAATAGGACCACAACACACATAACCTGCCATTAGAAAGAATGCATGTTTGAAGCACTTCCACACTGGCTTCCCCTTTCAGACCCGAATGCGGTCAATAGTAGGTCCAGCTGAGAAATAAAAAAGCATCAGTTAGTGTCTGGCAGTGAAGCACTGCTTCTGCTGTGTGAGAACACATGGTTTTGACAGTAGCTAAAACCATTTTCACACATGCACGCTGACCCTGATGGAGTTGCATGTGACAACACAAAAGTCCATAGAGGCGAACATTAAACGGTTTTAACCTGCTAGCTCCTTGGTGCAAAGTCTGTGTGGTGTCAGGTTGCAATGGTCTGAGAAGAGTGGATCATAAACCGATCTCTGAGGGCATCTTCTGCATCTTGCCTATTTTAGGGTCTTCTAAAAAGGACTTTGTGTTTAACTGAGATATGTAACAGTACAATTCTTTTCTGATATACCAAGATAAAGAAACTAGCATGGTATTTCAGTGTAAATCATCACTGTGCGCATCTATAAATCAGTGCCTGCTCCACTTCATCATAGTTGGTCTGTTAAAGACTTTCCTCTTTAAATTGCTCACTAAAGCGCACACTTTTTTTGTACTCCGAGACACGATATCATAACTTCTTCATGATGAGACCAGGCTTAATGCAACATGTGTTGAAACTTGACAACAGCTTTCTCACTGGTGAGAGGAAACACACCAAAACCTCACTGGTAATTCAACAGTTTAAAAATAAAGCACAGCACAGCACCTAGGAAGTGATTAAAAGAAAAAAAGGAGGAGTCAATACATTCTTATGGATGTAATGAGATCCTTGCATACAGTATAAATTTACAAGGCATTCACACACCCCATAAAGGCAACTGACAAACCAGTTTTTCCTGATTAGCGTTGCAGATGAGGGGCACTCTGAAAGGCGCACAGGAAGAGAAGACCTCCACCCATTTTTATGTGATCAACGTGGCAGACCAACTAACATGACCAGCATTACACTGAGAGACATCCCAGCACAGCTACAGGAAGCCTACTTTAACTTGTATGAGGCTTCACTATAGTGTCTCTCATGTGCTGCGATCCTCTGGCTGACTGTGACTTTTAACCCCGGTTTTCGGACACATGGCCTGACCTTGCACAAGACAACCAGACTAAAGATTGCAGGTCATAACCTCCTTGATGAAACCACATACTCCAAGTCACATGGTCACACAGTGGAGAAATGTAGAGGGGGAAAGAGAGGGTGGAGGACGAGCTCGCTTAAGTAGGACAAAGGTCACACAACTCTTAACAACTCCCGACACACCATTGGGGCAAAGCAAAGGAAAGAAAAACAACCTGACATAGTGCTTTCACAGTGAAACATTACATTATAAAACCCCAAAAGCATCATTATGCTTTAATTTGCATCATTATCCTTACATCGCTAAGATTTGCTGACAACCTGAAGTTTAGCAAGCACTATTTACACTGTAAATAGTTGTGCTTGCCAACATGTGCTAATTAACACAGATCACATGGAGGGCTGGAAATGTCAGTGGATTTGTGGCAAACTTGAATCCACTTAGCAGTTTATTCATTAAAGAGGAGCTAAAAGGAAAAAAAAAAGGGGATCCTCCAAGATCCTCTTGATTCCTCCTTGTTCCTCCTTTTCATGCATGGAAACAGTGTTACTTTAATTGAAAGGAAGGTTGTGTATGGGAAATGAATTACTGCTGTACCATGTGTGAAACAAAAAAATAAAATAATAAATAATAATAATAATAATTTTGGATAATCTTTTCCAAGAATGTAGCTACTATTTTATTTTATAAGCAATCTGCCACAAAAGCAGCACGCCAGAGCTGACTGTTGTGTAAACATCATCCAGCTCAGCCCTTTCACCTTGCTATCACCAAAGCAGACAGAAAGGCTGATACTGGTACTGTCGAAAGACTAAAGGCCACATGGTAAACCACGCTGTGCCACATCCTGGGTTTGCTTTAATGAAAGCTCCTCCTCTACTTGAGTACTAAAACCGCCCACACGATTGCATCTTTATGGTAACTGTTCATGTGACTGCCCTGCATGACCACAACAACATTACCTAGTGTTTCAAAAATTGGGTTTAAAATGGGAGGAAAACAGCAGGCGGCATTCCAGAGATTCCTGTTAGAGGAAGTTTGCATAAAAACACCTTCAGATGCAAGCACATATCAGAGCTGCTCTCCAAAAAGAGATGTACACCAACAACTGACTGCTAAGCACTCAATTATGATTCACTTTCACCTAATTTTCTTTCTTATAGAAGAGGCTGGAACTTATTCATAATACTCAAGTATCCAACTACCGGCTACCAGCTGTCCATGACTTCTAGTCTGAGAGATTTTTTTCCTTTGAGGGGAAATGACAGAAACAGTCCAGCTTTTGAGTGGAAAACCTGCTGTTTT